GGCAGACGGCCCCTTGCCCCCAACCCTTCTCACTTGCCCCCCCCCCGCTCACCGGCCCCCTAGCCCCTCTTGCACCCCCGCTCCCTTTGCCCACCTCTCCGTGGCTCAGCGCTCCATGCCCTCGGTCACACCTTCACTAAACTCTCGTCTCTTTCACCCTGCCTGTTCCCCGCCACCCGCATCACGCCAGTTCCGCACCCTCCCCCGGCCCCACTTCGGCCTTGCCCCGCCACCACCTCTTCACCCACTCGCCACATTCTCCACAGCAACAGGCCGCACCCAGCACTCAGACCGCCCACAGCCCCGCCCACAGCCGCTTCACCCCACCACCACCCCTCCCCTGCTCAGGCGGGGCGGCCCACACAGTCCCGCCCCGCCCTGCATCTCACCTCCACACTTCGTCCGCTACATCTCTCTTCCTCCCATGCCTCCTCGCTCCCGTCTCTCTCTCTCGTCTCTCTCCTCTCTCATCTCGTCTCCTCTCTCTCCATCTCTCTGCTAACCGCTTCCTCCCCGCGCCCGCACCCTGCTGCCGCTCCGCCTCATCTCTCGACCTCTTCCTTCGCCCCAACCCCCACCCCAGGACCACGCTACCGCCGCGCCGCCGCACCGACATCCGCGCTTGTCAGTCCGGGCGTCGAGTTTCTCGCCCAGGAACTCGAGACAAAGACGGAGGCGCAGATGGGCGGGGAGGGGCAAGGAGAAGGGGGGACGGGGGGAGGGAAAGTTGGGCGCCGCGACGTCGCGCCTCACGCCGTCCCACGGGAGCAACAGCCCGCGACGTGCGGACGGCGCCGCCGGACGCTCCGCCTCCGCAGACGGCGCTGCCGCCCCTGTGCTGCCACTCGCAGACGCCTGTCGCGCCTTAACCAGTGGCGGACCTAGCACAGTTGGTGACACCTGGGATAATATTGATGGAGCCTCCACCCTCCCACCTAATTCAATAGAAAACTTTGTATTATTGAATTTACTGCAATAGTAGTTTACGCTACAAATTTATAGAATTAATCTCTATTGTGTGAGTACATGTTTTGTAAACGTTAGGAGCGAATTTTCCAAATGTGTGCGAATGCTATAAAGCAATCTCACAAACGAGTTGCATAAGCTATAGTTTTGTATAACAGCATTATAAATTTGTAAGAGAATAAAATAAATCGATACAACTTTATTGTGACGACACGAATGTTCGACGTATGTACGAGAAACTGTGGTCGGTTGTTCAATTTACTGCTACCTCCCCACTATTTTCTCGCCGCGATTGACTGAATGTGTGATTACGCAATTTTTCGTGCCATAAATATCAAACACTCTCTATATAAGAGAGTGAGTCATTGAAATTTGACCTCCGCATTAAATTCTGCAGCTGGCACCCAACAACACAGTTTCGGCTGCTCGACATCCAAAGTGATATCCCTCCCAAATATTCGGTGACCTAAGTAGGGAGAAGGTTTTTTCCGCTGGTTCATTTGACCCAAAGCATCTCTTAAACCCTTGCTGGGCGTTGAGCGCTTGCGTTGTGGAGTAATCCTCCTTTACTTTCTTTGTTAAGTCTCGTTACGTCGTGGTCAGTCGGTGCGATTTATCCCTTCGGCCAGGAACTCGACGCTATCAGATCCCGGAGTTCCTAGCCGGTCACGCAAAGAAGGAATCCGCGAATCTCGAATGCGCTAACCTCCGTGACTTTGCGGAGCGTAGCAAACGAATTCGGCTAATGTCGCCGGCGGTTCACCACAAGGTACGCGGCTGTCAATACCTATCATCTTTAAATATGTTGTCTGGGATAAGGTATTTCACTGGGAAATCATATAATCTAAAGTTGAATCCTAAACCATGAAAAACTGCTTTTATTATTGAAAAACCAATAAAGCAGTTATAAGAACTTACTTGTAATGGTCGGGACAGCTTGAATGTGAGCACAGAAATCAGATGCGCACTACTTGCCTTCAGCAACTTGTTGTTGTCTGTTGATTTTTTTAAGTCTTAGACATTTATTTCATAAGATTGTTGCCACGCACGTCTGATAAATGGAATGAATATTTGATAATAATGTTAAATCTCAAATATCGGGCAACATCTTCATCAGTAGAGAAGGTTACTTTTAGAACTTTACTCGATGAGAAAAGATTTAATTTTCCTCTACAGAAATTGTATTATTTAGTTTACAGCAAAATATGAGGCTATGATTTCTTTGAAAGAGGATCGATCTCTACATGACACAATGGAATTTGCAGTATAAAAAACTTATTATGTTATCTCCAAATACTTTAACGCCATGAAACAACATTATTAATACAACATCTCAGTAGTAAGACATGTAGTTTTTTAGTTATTCCCTTATTCAAAAGAGGACAGCGTTCAGACGCTCAAGATTTTTACCTTGTTGACCCAGGACGCAACAGCTCGGAGAACGAAGAGTAGAACACCCTCGTCGTAGAACTGTAATGCAAATGAAAAATATTAATGTAAATATTGGTTTATTCCTTTATAGAGTTTTATCAATGTCAGAGATATTTACTATTTAAAAAAACTAATAAATTTGGATACACTGAAATTCGTTTATGAGCAAATCATTTTTATAAAGTAATTTATGAAGTGAAGCAGTAAAAACTTGTATTTGTCTTTTACAGCCAAAGTAAGAATTAGGTGAATATTCTTCAATCTCAGATTTTGTTTACCAACTTAGATGCAAAATCAGCATAACACAGCGCGCTTGTCTATTTTGATTAGAAGATCCGAACTGGTTAACCAAGAGTTTGGCATCTGGGAGTCGAATTTCGAAGCATTTAAAATTATTAATCCTAGTTTTACAATGTTTTATTTAAAGCAATTACTTTTTCTCTGTTTGTAAGTTCGACAAGTCATCTTTATATTTTGAATTACATTTACTTAGCTGGCAGAATGTAACACCCAAAATGAAAAAAATTCAAAATAATAAACTTCATGGATAACAAAGTTGTTGCAAGAAATACTGATTAATAGTAATACTGAATCATATTTATCCAGTTCTTAAGCATTTCGAAAAATTAAGAAGTCAGTAATTGCTTTTCCCAACAAATTAATTTTTTACTCTTATTAGATTACCAACATCACCTGTTCGAAATTAGTTTTCTATCCCATCAAAATTTGCTTTTAATTAATTTTGTAAAAACGAACAGGAGTATTTTTGTGAATATTCGAAATAGTAAATGATACGTGGTCACGCGTCAATTCAATTAATTAAACAATTCGATTAAATACGATACAAAAGAATTTTAACTTTGGTCACATTTGTGTGGTTATCAATCACAAATTTGAAATATTTACAAAAACATTTATTTTTAAATTCATTTTAAACTATTTGCAAGCACATTGTAGTATGGGCATTTATTTTATGGATTCATAAAACTAGTTTGATTAAGAAAGATCTTCAAAATATGTCGTGCACCTTTAAAAACCTTTTTTTGTTCAGCAAACAATAATTCATCATAAAATACCGAATAAATGTTTCAACAATGATTTGAAATATGTTATGAAATCTTAAAACTGCAAATACATATGGCTATTTAATAAGCTCGTATTTCAAGGACTCACTAAATCAATTACTTCTCCCTCTCGGCACTAGAGGTTACCATTTTCTCAGCAAGTTAATTTATGGACAAGTGAAGAAGAGGTCACATCACTTCTGTGCCCTTGTACATTCTGCACCCCAGCGCTCTGGCAAGAACGGACCTTCTACTCGTAAATGCAGTTAATATGCAGATGTGGAATGATATATTAGCAACGACATAATAAAGTGAATAATGCAAATGAAGGAATGAGGTCGATGTGAGAGTACTTGAGGAAGGTATTCTAACGCAAATGCCCCATAGAAGATCCATTATAAACTTTGAGAACTGCTTCAAAGATGAGGAACTCAACCTAATGTATCCTGGATGACAGCCTGTGGAAATCGACAATCGAAAATTTGAAAGTATTGTCCTGAAAGGAAAACGCCTAAATTAGGATCAGTTAAAATTAAAGTTAAAATTAAATAATAATAATAATAATAATAATAATAATAATAATAAATATAATAATAATAGTAATAAGTTAAATATTGATAAATGGAAATAAGACTCAAGAACAACGACGGCAAAACTACCAGAATTAAAATTATGTCTGCAGATGTATGTAATCATTACGTCTCATTAAGTATTACATTCAGTATGATTCGCTCAAAAATATACTTATAGTATATTTCAAAACTTCTAAAGAAACATGGTCCTCGAGGTTTAGAAAAAACGTAATTAGGAAAAATGATAAGTGATAATTTGACGAGTATTTTGCTACATCAGACAAATAAAAAGACGAATAAAACCCAGTAGGTTTAAAGGGAATTACAGCAGTACAAATACAGCAATACGAAGTTTAAAAAAGTAATATGTAACACCAAAACTCAATTTCATGAAGCGAATAATTCAATTGAAATGATTAAAAATTATAAATTATATCACATCTTTCAGTTCAAATCCAACGCCCACCATACTAAAAGTGCCTGGTCTCCAAAGATCAAGAATGTAATACACATTCCTTCGCCAACGTTTTCTTTGCGTTAAGGGCAAAATTGAATTAACTGAAAAACTAAAACTTGAATCTCAGTCACTCTGTCACGTTTATCTGTTTAGAAACAATGACCGGCATACAGTTATTCTTATTACTCTATGTTTTGCACCGAATCTGAAACAGTTATCTCAACCATAACGAGTTGGTCCACAAAGGGATTCACAAACGAAATATTCTATTCGAGGCGCAGGTTCACACAAGCGCAACTATTCGCTTGTTTATAAACCGTGCATCCTTTTGTCTCGGGGACGTCTGCCGACGACGGCTGTTGAAATTACGCGGTGCCAAAGAAGAGCTTTGAAAGCGAGCAGCGTGCGCCCGCACCGACACTCCACGCGCCCGCGCCCACCCCCCACTCCCCCATCTCTCCCCTACACGCTCCCACTCCGCCCACGTCGCCAAGCGCTCGCCCACAGAACCTCTCTCGAAACTGTCCCCACGCAGCAAGTTCCGAGCCCCACATGCTTCTACCCCCCCCCCTCTGCTGCACACACACTCTCACATACTCTCACCAACGCTCTAATTCGCGCAGTTGCACACACGACGCCTGTTCTGTGCAGACATTCGCCCCCATAACACTCACCCCCGCCATAACTCACAACCGCTATAGCTCGCAACTTTCCCTGCGCCCGCGTACACTACCACCCGCACTCACCTATGTGATACCACACCCCCTCTCTCTCACCCACTCACCCCCTCAGTCGCATAGACTCACTTCCATTCACATTCCCACCCATGCTCCAGCACGTGCATCTGCACTTGCCCACGCCATAGCGTAGGCTTAGCGTTCACACACGCCTCCACTACTTTCACACCCGTCCGATCCCTATCACCTAACGATCGCTCTCGAAATTGCCCCCGGGTCAGCACTTGCACCCAGCCCCTTGCCCTCCATGCCTCCACCCCCACCCTCTCCCAGACATTCACGCCTACACTCCTCACGCTCTAATTCGTACACCTTCATTCGACCACACCACGACGCACGCTCACACAACCCTGCACTGCTGCAACTCTCACCCGATCACGCTATCACCCACACTACCGCTCTCGCCAACAGCACCGCCGCCGCCTACCTCCTAAACATGCTTTCGCCGGCGATCTCGCACCCACCCACACCGTGTCACACGCCCTGCTCTTACCACGCGTCCACTCCCGCCCGTGCACACACTCCTGCGCCTGCTGCCAGTTCACACAAGCACTCGCCTGCCTTCAGCTCCTAACCCCCACTGTTGCATTGCTCGCACTTCTGCCTTGGTACCACTCGTCACCGCCGTCTCCAACCACCGCGCGTTCTGTGCCTGCTCTGCCGACGCGTATTTCCGTGTGATTGGCTCTAAGCTCACTGTTGCTCCCGCCTCCACTCCCTCCCTACTCCCAAACACATCGAGGCTCACACCTCCATTTGCACCGACAACACCGATCTCACCCATACCCCTTGCAGCCGCTCAGCATCATCCCGCTCACACCCTGTTCTCCACCCACTCCCGAAATCATCACAACCCACAAAAACTTCCAAATGCGCTTACATCCTGTACTAACCCCTACCTCTCCACCCTCGCTCCCCGACCCTTCCCACACATCATTCCCCGCTCACTCATCCGTTCCCTTTCCCTCCCCCAGACGCTTGGGTCTAGCCCTGCACGCGGGCGCCGCTGCCGCCGCCGCCCCGCAGCAGCAGCAGCAGACACTCCGTCCAAGCGTGCAGCGGCACGGGCTCCAGGGAATGCGAATACAATGGGAGCATGCGGGTGGGTCCCCCGCCCGCCCGCCGGCGCGGCCCCTTCTACCGCCCTCTTCTCCCCCTCCTCCTCTTCCTCCCGCACACCTGCTTCACCCGCACTCTCGCCCTATCTGCTCCCGCTGCCTCGCACATCCCCTCGCATGGTGTTTATTCACTCGTCCATGGCCCCACACGTGGTTAGTTTCTCACCCGCTACTTTTTCTCTCTATTTGTGACTCTTTAAACTTCAGATGATTCCATCTACATTTTCTAAAACATACGTTCTCGCATACCAGACGCAAACCTTTCACGAGAGCTTTACTTTGATGTGACACTTCTATGAAGGACAGTGTGTAAGCATTTCTCAGAGTTCAAAGCGCCGAACGACTACGTGGGCGATACTCATTTCATGACTGCCATTTACCCGCAAGCGGCGTTCACATTCACAGTCTCCTAGAGTGAACGTTCTCAATAAATCAAAAGAGCAACGTTCTGTGGGACACGAATTGACGCGTTCTCCGATTCGCTATCGCAAATATAATGATTTTGCACGAAAATTTAATGACATTAAGTGGAATCTGCCGAACAGCATTTCGTTCCATGTTATCCAATACGTCATGACGCTAGTGTTTTGGTCAGCTATAAACTCGTCAGATTTCATAAGAGGTCACTATATGGTCAAAACTAATCTTTATGTAAAGTTTTCACTTCACTATACTGCAATTCTTTCGCCCAACCGCGAATAATATATCGTGTTATTTACGTTTTAACTGTATCTTCTCATGTCTTTACTGTGTTTCGTAGTGAACAATAAATACTGCTAAGTAAAGCTCGTAACGAAATAAACGTTCTTGTGGCCATTATTAATGCTGCCTTTAACACAAACCAAAATTTCTAAGATTATTGTATATTGGCAAAACATCAATAAGTTATTATTTCTCTCTGAGTTATGTCAAAACAAATTTTCATCGTTGGGAAAGAAATTCTCATTTTGAACAAGGTGTATTGTTGTGCGATCATCACTTGATATCCCGACTTTAAGTTGACTTTGGCGATAGTTGCATTTTGAATGTAGTATGTTGGTATGTTGGTAGACCGAAGTGGCTCAGGGCGTATTCGGGAGGGCCGGGTTCAATACCCAAGACGGCCATCCTGACCTGGGTTTCCGTGCTCTCCCGATCATCCAGAAAAATTTTCTACTGAAACGTCACGACTGCGAAAACCAGTGTCGCTAACCGAATTCGTTAACTGAAATCAGGAAGGTGAAGCGAATTCGAGACATCAACGGTTCCTGGTTGGGTGACCGATTGGGAACTCCGTTATCTAACGGCGACGAGACCAATTGCCCTTTACAGAACATAAAATAGCTACATACAAATAAAAACACAAATGTTCGGTTGAAGACGGTATTTTAATATTTGAGGATATTTTATGTTCGTGAAGCATATTGCACAAAAAGTTTTATAAATGGCTCAAATGTTTCCTTTATTGTTTCTTTTGAAGAAATTTGTTCTTTAAAATTGAATACTTAAATAATGTGTTGCCTAATTTATAGTGTAATTTAATAATATAGTATATTTAATAATATTTCATTATATCATTAAATTAATTTGCGTAATTCTGTTATTTATGTAGAATATTATATGCTTTAAACAGCTTTTTAAGAGATATAGTATTTTAGCTTTTTGAAGCAATCGTTCCATCCTATCTGTTTTGAAATTTGGCAGGTATGATACATTTTTAATGCAACCTTTTCAAAAATTAATATCATAGAGACCTAAAACTGTCTGCAGGTACGTACTTTCCGTCAGCAGCAATCAGTTTTAACCTTAAGTACAGAATCTCTACTTCCAATTTCCAGTCCCATTTCCAGTTACAAAAAAATGTCGATTTCCAGCTAAGAGTCGAGTTGCAAATGCACCACGCTACGAGAGTATATCCGCCGGACGAAGCCACAGCTGCGCGAATTGGGGACTGTCCCTCCCCGCGCACCAGCCCCGCCCCGCCTACGCCCTGCTTTCAACCATCACCACCTCCGATCCACTTCTCCCACTTCTCTCTTCACCCACTCTTTTTCAACCCACACAACTCTGCCGCCCGATTCCGCATGCCACACAATTTCTCCGCCCAGTCGCATCTGTACGTCTGCCCTGACGCGTCCGGTCCCGTCCCGATCTCGCCCTATTCCGTTCGTTCATCCAGCCCTGCCGCGCGTCTCGTCCCGCCCTGCCCAGTCGCCGTCCGTTTCCGCCCTGCTGTGTCCCAACCACATCCGCCCTGCTACATCTATCTCCGACCTGCCCCATCCGTCCCACCGCTCCCATCCCACCCCGGGTCCCGTCCTATCCCGTGCGCGTCCCTTCCCCGTTAATTCTACCACGTCCCGTTATCCCGCCCCGTCCGCGTCGTACCTAGGCACGATTCCTTGCTCTGCCCTGCGAGCCCACACTGCACCACTACACCGTGCCGTGCCGCTCGGCGCCAACCGCTCCAATCGCGCACACCTCCCTCACACTCCTCCGCCCTCCGTTGGACCACCGCACCGCACTCCCCGCTGCGTCCACTCTCCCTGCAATCGGCTTTTCGCCGGAAGAGGACTCCGAAGCCACCGCGCGGGAGTCCGGCGCCGGCCGCAAGACCTCGGGGAAAATGGCGGCGGACAGTTGCGCAGCGCCGCCCGCGAAAGAGGCCCGCCGCAACCGGAAATTTAATCGCGCTTCGCCGAGAGGGAAGAGGCACAGCACATCCACTTGAAGCGCGCACCGCACCTTGCGTTGCCGTGACGTTCAGCAACATGCCCGACCGCCCGACCGCCCGACCGCCCGACCGCCCGACCGCCCGACCGCCCACTCTCCGAGGTTAACATTTCACGAATTACCAACTTTTTCTCGCAGGATCCTGATCGCGCAGTATTCCGAAGCTGTTACTCTGAGCTTTGTCTGGTCACTAAATAGAAGCTTGAAGTGTAATATCAATACTGGGATCGGAGCTACTGCAAACTCAAGGATGCTGAGAGAGAATCACAATGAAGGCTCACTAAAGTGGTCACTATTGGTTCCGGAGAAAATGGTCATTAGACCAAGGTTTATTGAAAGTTATGAGAAAATGAGAAGCAGATATTCGATCTAAATGCAATGAAGTACAATATGGCTATGCCAATACCTGTTTTTATTAAGACAAACTGTAAAATATCGGAAACGTTTTTTGCTCGTAAGCATGTATTTACATGATAATCAAAATTATTCAATTTCTCATTTGTGCACTTCTCTTTATCAGACCTCTGCTTGTTTCCGTCCATTTGTGGACTTTATTCCTCACGGCGCTTGCTGGTGCTCTTCTCTCCCTCAGTGATTAACACACTGTTTTTATCTACTCTAAGCTACTTCGTATTCTCTCAACACATCTGAGCAATAGGTACATGTTCAAATTGAAGGTAAGTTGATTAAACTCTGTTAATCCCCACCAACGCATAAAGCGGCGGATATAAGCCAAGGAGTGAAAAATTGGCGGCTTCCCGCTTCGTCCGTCACGAAAGCCACCCTAAGTCGATAGAAGGCGATCATTTTACAGGTCGATACTTCGATGTCGGAACGAAGATCAACGTGTGCCCGTTCAGCATCAAGTTCAGCATCAAGAGCAGAGAATTAATCCAAGGCTGCACAATATTCTCAATATTATAGCGACTCCCATTTACCTGATAGTCCCCCATCACTTTGAAGGAGATCTGTAGCTCCCTCACTATGATTTTTCCCAGAGGGTATCTTAAATGAATATAAGTATTGCTTATGTCTTATATTATGTCTTATAAATATTTTCTACTGACACTGTTGACAACGCTTGAGAGCAGAAGCAAAAGTATGTGATGTTCTTTATCAGATGTAGAGGATTATATTATTAAACGCAATGTTGAATTCATAAAAGTTATTTACCCTTATTTTATGTTAAAAATTGATTTGTTTATGTTAAAAAATACAATGTCATGTTTGAAAACCGGGAATGAATATCTACATTTTCTTTGTAGAAATAAGAAAAAATATTTGTAGATCGTCTAGAAAATGAACGGAAAAATACTTCAAGAGATACTAGAATAAATCATTGCCTTAAATTTAACAATAGTTACATGAACTATTTAGCGTGATATTAAAATTGATACAAAACATATAAAATTAAGATGTTAATTTCCAACGGATGAGATGAACATCGCAAATAACGTAGGCAAGAAAATAATGTCGGCATCACAAATGCGTGGAGGCGAGGGCGAAGTGGAAACACGAGTAAGTGCACTGCGCTGCCTTTGAAGTACCTAACTTCTAAATTCATTTACATTCACACGTAGGCAAAAATTAGCTAGGTAAACTGAACTACTGTACGTCCACTTTCGTACAATGAAAACAAATGACCATGACTTTGCACATAATTTTTATCGAACACTACAGTTAACATAACAAAACACAAGATATCACTAGAGTGAAACAAAGAATACTGCAGTAGTAAGAATATTTAAAAGCTTCTTGCTGAATTATATTTATAAAATGACTTTATTAAAAAATATAGAGGCAAATTGTAAAATGCTGCTAATAGTATATTATATAATCTCTCAAATTCTACGATATTTTTATCTTCAAAAAAGTGTCTCTTCCAAGCAGCCGTATCAAAGAACCCTGAAGAAGGGGCGGGTATCAAAGTGCATTTTCCATCTCAGTCGACTCA